TTTTGGAGGGGACGCTCCGTGAAGATGGCCTAGGTGGGCAGGGCTGGTGTGCTGATGCAAGGCACGAAAGCAGGTACAGTACATGTACAGGCAGGGCCCCCTCTCGAGGTGTCTTGGCTGGTTCGCATCGTGCCGTTCGCTGGTGGGTAGCAACCTGGCACAGCCTGTGTTGGGTGCGAATTGGCGAGAAGTGCAGGGGGTCGTTAAAGTGCGACCAGCTGCCGAGAGGTGTCTTTCGGGGCGGGGTGGAAAAAAGAAGGCACCTGGGGGGAGGAGTCTAGGGGGGAGCAGATACTGGACATGGTACATGTACAGGGGGGGGAGCAGGAGGGACCACGTGGATGCTGGAGTTTTTGTCATGACGACATGATTATGTGGCCGTTGTATGTATGATTTTCCAGCTATTGGATTTTTCTGCATCTGATTGATCATGGGGGTGGCCATCTCCGCCAAAGTTCGTGATGGCTGCATGCACCAGGCATCCAACACTGGTTAGCATCGTGAACTACTTTACCTTCCCTTAACCTTCACTACCATGTACTCACCATCGCCTTCACCATTCACCATCGGCATCATACCATCGTGCTCTCACACCCCTCCGATGCATCCATCCCGCGAACTGCGCCGACCTCTCCGAATACGGCCGCTGTCACACGACGAAGATGCGACACCTTACATGGGACGATATTCTTCCGTTGAAGCCGTGGCGGGTTTCCCCCAGACAACCACACTCACACACACACACACACCGCAGCGGCACGGACACGCCATCCACCCGGCTGTGCAGCCCAAGGGACGAGCGCCCCGATTCGGTACCTGGTGCCTGACATGGTGGCCCGACTGACGTACCATGTATTCTGCCGTGTGTGCACTAACAGACAGACCTGAGCACCGACAGCTTGGGTGGACATGGGACGTCGACAGCCCAACGACATCTGCTTGCAGCTGAGCTGTTGCTGCCGGCGTCGCCCAACCGTCAAGCATGGGCAGGTTGATGCTCACTGCTAAAATGAATGTGAATCAGCAACCAGCTCGCCTAGGAACCTCGACATGGAGATGCAGCACTCAACCACTCGGCTGACCGACCAGGGGGGCAGGCAGGGGTGCTCACGATGCTGCAAGGGGGGCGCCTCAGCAGCCCGATCGGGGCGTCCGTCTTTTCTTCGTCTGGCCCTGCCACCGCTGCTGCTACCGCATCGTCATTTGACCTGTGCGTCTCCCTCGGCCCCGGTGAATAAGCTCATCTCAGGACGAGAGAACGAGAGCAACAGAGCGCCCTCCTCGTATCCCCGAACAGAAACCTGTTAAACAGGCTCCCCCCTGCCGTGCCCTGTGACCTCGTGTCATGTCGCGCTCGCTGTTTGCGAACGAACAGAAAAAAGGGCTGCGCACAGGCCCTTCCTCGGGTCTCCCTTGGCGCGCGAAAACGGCGGCACCCGCTTAGTTAGGTAGCGAGAGCTAACTATTCATAGTCCAACGAGTCGGTGGATTGTTCCAGCGAGCCGGTGGAGTGGTCCAACGAGCCGGTGGATTGGTCGTGAGTACGAGGAGTGGGGGGCAGCGTCGCCTTCACCGTTCACCGCGTGCCTCGACGATCCCATCGTCTACTTGTTACTCAGTCGTCGCTGACATTCTTCGCCACAGTGATGGAGACGTCGCAAATTAGGGGTCCAGTGTCTACCATGTACCCGGGGACGAACCCTGCTCAGCTGCTTGCTGGGTTGAGGGATGCTATTTATTCCCGTTCGCATTCACTTTAGTCTGAGGTCCAAGTGGAGGTGACCGTTGAAGCTATTGAGAACGAAGAGAAAAAAAAAACATTTTCTGGCGTTGCGTTAGATTGTGTTTCGTTTCCTCGGTCTCGAGATTCCAAGGACTCCCCTTCTTCATCTGGATTGCCGTTTGTGGACAGCTGGGGTGGCACGTTCCCTTCTCTTTTTGCTCTCTGCTTTGACCCTTGTGGGGACCGAACGACCAGAATGAGCAACATGGTCGATTGTGGGGTATGACGGCATGCCAAATTGGGCTTCTCCTCCTGGCCTTGAACTCTCTTCATTGCCCAACATGTCTGGCAGACACGATGAGGCTGAGAGGCGTTGAACGTTGAAACGCTTCGGCGCGCCGGCTCATTGGTGCTGCATGCGGAGATCTTGGCTGTCACCCGTGCATCTTCGTATCTTCGTCGACCCAGACTGTGGACCGGTGCCTACCAAGCCCTAGGTTTCGAGCCGTGGAATGCAACCAGGCGTTTGCGTACATGTACACGGGGCTGTGGCAGAGTTTGTTGACGAAACGATCGTGCATCGCTCTGTGCCAAGCGTGGTACGCTGCCATCGAGCATATGATGTTGTCTTGGCAGGGAGCGGATTCGAGCTGTTTTGTACTTATTCGAGCAAGTTATTGGAGCGAGTAATACGATCAGAGTGGGCGACATCGATATGTCAAGGAGAGACATGAAACAACTCCACATCTAATGTTGCCAGTGGCCGGTGTTGCGTGTCGTGATGAGTTCCATCGCGGGCTGGACTCGCCTGGAATCCTGTTCAACTGATTCACTGTTCGACTATTAGCTTGAGTTCTTATCATAGCAGATAATTGTATAACCTGTGTGCGTCATGAAGCTTTCATGATATCTCTAACAGAACACATGTGCTCTGTAGACATGGCTCCGTATCTGCCATCGTTCAGAAAGCGAAACCTTAGAGCTCGACGACTCATCCTAAACTGGGGTCAGCCAGCGCGGAGCGACTACATGCCGATATGATTTTGTAGTCTTTCCTATCAGTCCTGGCCAGGTATACCTGACTCAATGAGATAACCTCATCTTTCGTCTGGTCTCTGCTTGAGCAGCTGGGGGGCTTTTTTCGGGTAACTGCTCCCCTAACGTGTTTACCGATGCAACCATTGTAGCTACCATGTTGGATGATGGAGTGCCTCGACTGCTTTCTGATGGCTTTGCTATGGGATGAGGAGGTCTCTTCGGCGGTCAGCATGCAAAATTTTCAAAGACAAGATGAGTTGGGACATTGACTCACGAGACGAGTGCTTTGGACAAACGAATAAGTTCCTGCAAGATGTGAAGATGAATAGACAAGCCTGCGAAGGGCGAAGTGAGTTCTTAACCAGAAAAGGTCACCCCTATAAATCGTAATCATCACACCGGTAGGACATACCATCCAGGCGAGTCGCAGGCTCTGGAAACCCGTGGCACCCTTTCAGGTGTTCGATCAATACATCCAAACCGATTTCCCCGGCGGTGTAACTGCTAGGTAGGTATATCACGAACCCAACCTTGAAAATTCAAATCTCGTCAACAAAAACCACAGTTCAGCTTAAGCCCGTCAGCTCAACCCGAGACGGCCAACCTCCGCGCTTAAAGGCCTCCCCTGCATCATCTCCGCCACGACCCTCCCAGTCCCGACCCCCAGCGCGATGCCCCACGGGCCATGTCCCGCCGCGACGAAGACCCCGCCCCCGGCCCCCGGCCGCGTCGCCACGCCGGGCCCCAGCGCCGCGTCCGGCACGCGACACAGCAGCGGCGCGCCCGTCTCGGTGACGGGGCGAAAGCAGTGGCCCTCGCGCACGACCTCGAGCTCGTCGCCGCGCTCGACGAGCCGCGCCGCGGCCCTCCTGAGTGCGGCGATGCTGTCGGGCCGGATGGGCGCCTCGGCGGGGAGGGCGGGGAGGTGTTCAGCTGTCGAGTTGAGGCCCGCGACGTAGAAGGTGCCGCCTAGGCGGGAGAACAGCTCGGGGGACCAGCTGTCGGCTGCGGTGCTGTAAATGGCGTGGCAGACGTCTGGGTGGTGGGGCGCTGGGGGTCGGAGGACGAGGGAGTGGCCTGACAGGGCTTTGATGGGTATGGTGGTCTTCGAGAGCGGGAAGAGGGTGGCGAAGACCTGGGGTGTCCAGGCGCCGGCAGCGATGAGGATCTGCGTGCAGGGAACGTCGGTCTCTGTTGAGGTGTCCGTCTGCGCGATGCGAATGCTGGAGAGCTCGCCGTGGATGGCGTCGGCGCCGACGGAAAGGGCTTTGGCGGGGTGATGGATCTGGACGCCGCGCGACCGGCATGCTTCTAGGAGAAAGCGGCACAGGCGCAGAGGGTCGCTGGAGCGGGATCAGAGGAGGATGGGTGGGAGTTGGGCTGGGCTCTCACACTTGAGCTGTGGTGCCGTCCTCGGAAATGGACTGTACGTTGTCGCCCTCTCTCCTTCGCAGCCAGGCCGGCATCGTCGTGTCAATGGTGCCGGCGGCTTGCGTGACTTGAGCGCGGCTCTCGCCGGTATCAAGCCAGTCCGAGTCAGCATCGCCACGGAGGCTTTGAGGTCCCGACGCGTGACTGAAGGTGTCCGATTTTGCGTATCCCCAGTTCTGTCTCCCGTCGTTCTCTGCAGCCAGTCTTTTGTGTTCGTTGAAGCTGAGCTCGCCCAAAGAGGCGAGTCGAGACGCAAACCAGTCTTTGGCCAGGAAGCCACCAGCGAACCCTGAGGCAGAAGAGAAAAACTCGGGCGACGGCTCCACGAGATGGATCGACAAAGGTGGTTGCGTTTCGGAGAGATAGTATGCCGTCGACACGCCGATGATGCCTGACCCAAGGATAACAGTGGTGTTCATGGTTGGAGATGCCAATGTGTGGTTGCTATCCAGGTTTTGTCTTCCTTATTTCCCCCTCCGACCAAGTACACGATAAATGGCCAGTATTTCTATCATTCAAGCTGCCCACGTCACAGATGCGTCGAATTACGGAACTCGAATCTCCATGACAATGACCTCAGCATCGCGTTGACGTCGATGCCCCTCGATGGCGTCGATGCCCCTCGATGGCTGGGGTGATAAGATAAGAGAATGCCCCACCACACAGCACGTCAACTCGGTGCTCCGCCATCCACGACGTCGCCCACCAGCTGCGGTACACAAGAAAAAAGCCTTTGCGCCAGCCAGTGCACGGCGACGACCCAATCGTTCACTCAAACAAAACACAAAGCGTTCTCGCCCGCGCCGAAATGGCTTCCAAAGTTTTCATCGTCACAGGCGCCAGCCGCGGCCTCGGGCTCGCCATTGCAAAGTACCTCCTCGAGGCTTCGCACCGAGTTGTCCTCGCCGCCCGGTCCAAGGACAAGCTCGAGGAGCTCAAGACGGCGTACCCCACGCAGGTCGAGTATGTTGCAGGTGACCTCGGGGACCTGAAGGCAAGTATCTGCGGGCCTCTCGTTTGGACGTCTGAAGCTCACACCTCGACAGTCTGTACCGCAGGTTGCGCACCACGCCAGCAAGACGTTCGGCAGGATCGACGGTATCGTCATCAACCACGGCGTCTTGACGCCCCTCAGCCGGCTGGAAAATGGCTCCATCGAGGAATGGAGAAAGAGCTACGACATCAACGTGTTCAGCGGATTGGCAATTGTGAGGAATGATTCCAAGTTGTTTGCATTCTGGGAGCTGACTATTCTCAGGTGCAAGCTGCGCTGCCGGAGCTCAGGAAATCCAAGGGCAGCGTCCTATGGGTTTCCTCCGGCGCTGCCACCAAAGCCTACACGGCTTGGGGTGCATACGGCTCGTCCAAGGCCGCCATGGACCACATTTCTGCGCACCTGGCAGTGGAAGAGCCCGACATCACCACCGTTGCCGTCACCCCTGGCCGCGTCGACACGGACATGCAGAAGCTCATCCGGGAGGGAGGCAAGGATGCGATGAACGCCAAAGACCACTCGGCCTTCTCCTCAGCCTACGACAACGGCGAGCTCGTCAAGCCAGAGCAACCCGGCCACGTCATGGCGCGGTTCGTAATCGACCCTGATCACAGCCTCACAGGCAAGGTGCTGAAGTGGCAGGCGAGTGAGCTTGCAGCATACCAAGACAAGTAGACTGCAGAGCAGGTGGTTCATCTACGATGGCATTGTCAGCGCTGGGTTCCACTCGATTTGGCAGAAAACATGGACAAGACAAAATTTGCAGTCAGTCGAAAGATGAAAAGTTCATACGTTAATCCACATGGATGATTCAGGATTAGCATGGAATATGTTTTATCATCACGCAAAATTGTCCCCGCACCGGCTGGGAACCTGAAGAAAAGAAATGTCTTGCGCCTACCTATGGCTTGTTCCCAAGACGCAGGCAGCACCGACGCTGAACACGCGCGCACCTCGGTGACGAGTCGACCCATGGACAACTCGGCCTCGAGGTGATGCGCTTCTGGGCCAGAGAAGTGACCAAGTGTAGTCGGCATCGGCGTGTCTGCGTCGAGGAAGTTTGTGTCTATAGGCACACGCTAGTCTGTGGCCCGACATGTTGGTAGAACGTGGAAAGTCTCCTGTGGACGAGATGGTCAGCACAAATTTGTTGTACACTTTGCAGAAGAAATTGCATGATTGCTTGACGGTTCAGCGAAGTCCGTTTGGCTTGGACAGTCATTCACCATCGAGGAAAACCTCGTTAGTTTGGGGCGACAGCGTGTTCATCATAGTCGAGTGTGTGGGGAGGGAAGGTCGTGTGGACGGAAGTAGGAAGGTAGAAGCTTACCATCATTGCTACCGCAGCCTAACAGGGGCGACGCGTTGCGGAACTGGCCATGTCGCAACTCGGAGCATGGAAGCTGTTGGTGGCTGGATGTTGTCGGGAGGGAAAGCTGTTGAAGAAAATTCGAGCTCAAGAACTTTTAAGCCCACGGCTGCCATGGCCCGTGCGCCGACTGATGTGGGCTTGGGGCCGGGCGCATGTCGCAGGGCGGCTTTTGCTGGCACCTGCGTTCAGCTGGCGACTGCTCAACGCTCAACCCCCACTCCACTAATAAGCTGCGCTACGCCCGTCCCCTCGGAACCCTTTGCTCACTTCACTTTCAACCTGTGCCTCGACACCCAACTTGCAGCACTTTTACGACGGCCACTGCCTCAGCGTTCTCTCCATCAACCGCTTGACTCAGCGCCACGCGTATCTCCATAGACATCTACCGAAGCGCCAGAAACGAGGTGCTCTTCTCCTCTATTTAGCAAAGACGTGCACGCCGTCGATCAAGACCTGCCCCTCATCTGCAGCCTCATCGCGTCTCATCTCAGCCACCACCGCGACAACCACACAACCCTCCACCATGTCAGACCACGAGTTCGGAGGTAAGGTCTTGATTCACTCATCTCAATCAGCCCGGGTGTGCATTCTTGGTATTGTAGCTGTCGCTACTTCTCCCTGTCTGGATACACTCTCGGTGAAACCAGGCACCTACCTGTGTGCCTGAAATACAGTTGGCTGTGATGTTGCCCACTCCCTCCCATGGTTCGGCTCACGCTTGATACAAGAATCTTCACACTATGCTCCTCTCCTCTCTTGTTCTGACCACGGGCCAGCCACGCCCCAACCACGCCATCCTACACCCGGCAACGTCTCGCAAACACCAGACTGACCAGGTATCGCAGGCAACGACGATCTCTCCTTGCCAAAGGCCACCGTCCAGAAGATTGTCACCGAGATCTTGCCCCCGGCCGACGGCATCGCCTTTGCCAAGGATGCGCGCGACCTGCTCATAGAGTGCTGCGTCGAGTTCATCACCCTCATCTCCTCCGAGGCCAACGAGATTTCCGAAAAGGAGGCCAAGAAGACAATTGCCTGCGACCACATCACCAAGGCGCTCGAGCAGCTCGGGTTTGCCGACTATGTGCCTGCTGTTCTGGAGGCCGCCGCAGAGCACAAGGAGGTGCAAAAGGTATGCTTACATCCGCTTTCTGAAGCCCGCGGTGGCAGAGCTAACGTTGTGTGCGCCCCAGGGACGGGAGAAGAAGGCGAACAAGTTCGCCAACAGCGCCATCTCCATGGAGGAGCTCGAGAGGATGCAGCAGGAGGCCTTTGCGGATGCGGCGAACCGCCACGCTTGAGGTCGCGCACGGATTCCAATGGTTTGGCGTTTGGCAGTGTTTGAGGGCAGGGATTGGGACGGCGTTACGCATGGCTGGGCGGGGCTCACGATCTTTCATGTTGGCATTTGCATCGCGACTCGGCTGTATCCTGGCCTTATATCCTGGCCTTATATCCTGGCCTCTTATTGAAGAGGATCCTGTTGCCGTGCTCTGGAAGAGTTGAAGCGATGCTCTCGATGAATGATGACCGAACTTGACGTCAACGGGCACTTGGATGCTGCGTCTGGAGGTAAGTGGTGGTAGCCAACTCGGACATGTTTCGTCTTCACAGTTTGGTGGGGGTTTCCCACGAGGCAGTCTCCCTGAGATGACCGCTGTACTATATGCCTGCGTGTATATCCATCATACAAAGTGTACCACCAAGAGGACTGCGGCGTACCCTGGCCTTGCCACATCGCTCGTCCCCCGTAGCTGTCTCATTGTAGCTCGTCTCCCTGTAGCTCGTATCCCTGCAGCAAAACGCCGTCATGCCCCTATACACACTAAAAATCTAAGAAATCTCCACGCCTCCTCAATACACGGCGCACCCCGCCAGCCCATCCCAGCCGCAAGGCCCATTCGCCCAAGCACAGACAAGCTAGTGCAGCCTCCGCTGGTAGTGCACAGGCTTGTCATCATGCGAGAGCCGAAACAGCTCCTCCTTGATGAGCCGCCGCCGCTGCGCCAGGCTGATGGGCTTCTGGTCCTCGGCCGACGGGTCCGGGTTGAGCTGGTTCTTCTCCGACAGCAGCCTCACGTTGCGCTCGCGCTCGCTGAGGTCGCGCGCCGCCTCGAGGCTCTCCCGCGTGGCGCGCAGCTCGGCGGCCAGCTCGTCGTGGGGCGAGGGCGCAAGGACCTTTTGCTGCTGCTGCTGCGGCGGCGCTGGTGCCGCCGCCGCTGCGGGGTCTGGGATTGAGGGGCGCACCTCGACGATGACGGGGTCGCGCTGGTTCGCCTCGGCTTGGGCTTCGGATTCGAGGACGATGATTGTGCCGTCGTCGAGCTCGGTTGTTGTCGAGCGGAAGCGGTCGGGGAGGTTGGGGCGTGGGGAGGGGTTGAGAGGGTGTTGGCGGATGGCGGCGCGCAGCTGGCTGACGGTTCGTTGCTGGAGCATGTAGCCGCTGAGGAAGAGGGCCGTTGTGCAGGATATGACTGGAGGGGAGAAGAATGTCAGAATGCGTGGGTCGCTGGAATGTGCACGCATGAGGAGAGATGGACGTACTGATGAAGGTGGTGATGAGGGCGGAGACTTGGGAGGAGGAGAGGAGCATGGCGGCGAACGATGTGGCACCTCGACACGGGCGGCAGAGCGTAGATGATATAAGATTCTAGATAGACACGATGCAAACAATTGATATCGATGAAATGGTGCTCTGGGATTCTCTGTACAACAGCCGAGATGCTGCATTGAAAGTCGCCATCCGAAGGCTGGTTGCAGGTCTGGCGGCTGTTGACTTTGTTGGTGGGGCAACAATCGATAGCGCGGGCGGGAAGCGTGAGCGTCACCCAGCTTTTTCCAGTTCACCACGAAACCCAACTTCACCACCACCACCGCCACCACCACCACCACCATTAGCCCCACCACTCAAATCATCCCCATAACGACAACCGTCAGCAGTCAACATCTTGCAAGGTCAATCACCCCGAGCAGACCGCAGGCCACGCGCCCGTCACAACCATGGGCAAACCCGACACAAAGACCATCTACGCCAACGAGCGGCGCTTCCTCGACGACCGCGGCACGGCAGCCGCCCTGGCCCCCAACGGCGAGAACCCGGCCAAGATCATGGAGAAGGCCGTCATCGGGCGCATCGTCGACGCGCAGTACTTCCAGTACCAGTGCTTCGCCCTCAACGAGGCCGGCATCGTCGACCGCGTCGTCAACGACGTCAAGTTCATCGGCGGCACCTACGGCTCCGCCCAGAAGCCCACGCCCTTCCTCTGCCTCGCCTTTAAGCTGCTGCAGCTCGCCCCCAGCGACGACGTCCTCGAGACGTACCTGAGCTTTGGCGGCGACAAGTTCAAGTACCTGCGCGCCCTCGCCTGCTTTTACATTCGCATGACGAGGCGCGCCAGGGACGTGTATGCCATTCTCGAGCGGTACCTCGTCGACCGCCGGAAGCTGCGCCGGAAGGGCCGACAGGGCACGAGCTTGACGTTTGTGGACGAGTTTGTGGACGACCTGTTGACGAAGACGAGGGTGTGCGCGACGAGTTTCAGGGAGCTGCCGAGGAGGACAGACCTCGTCGACCTCGGAGAGCTCGAAGAGAGGGAAAGTCCTCTGGGCGATATTGACGAACTCCTCGATGCCGACGACGAGGAACAGCAGCAAGAACAGCAGCAGCAGCAGCAGCAGCAGCAGGATGAGACGCCAGGTAGCAGGGCAGATGACGAGTCAGACGGCGAGATTGTCGAGAGGTCACAGAACGGCGACAGAATGGACGTCGACAGGAGCCCATCGCCAAGTCGATCAAGGAGTCGGGAGCGAACACCCTGAGATGCGGTAACGTCAATGGCACTGGATCATGCACACCTCTCACATCACCGATCACCGAGGGGCACGCAAGTGCCCAAGCTCCATGACTACCAAGCATCCAGGGGTATTGTCTACTACATAATGTTACAGCCTCAGCCCCGCCTGGCTGATCGTCAGTTCAACCGGCAAACTTTGCCACAATGTCTCACACCGCGTCTTACACCGCGAGCTTCTCCGCAAGACGCCTTGCTACCTGCAGGACGCGTTTGTCATCCCAGTACTGTCCGATGATCTGCAGCCCAGCCACCTTTCGGCTGTCGTCCGCCTCGGGAGACGGCGACTGAATCTGGACCGGGATGCTGATGGCAGGAAGCCCAGCCAGACTGGCCGGCACAGTGAACACGTCGTTTGTGTACGACTGAACAGGGGTCTGCTTCTCCACATGTTCGATCCTCGGGGGAAAAGAGGGCGCCGTGGGACAGAGGAGAAAGTCAACCTGCTGGGGGCCAAGCTTGTTCTCCAGCTCGACGTCGCCCGTCATGTCGCTCAGGTCGAACTGCTGCTCGTCGTAGAGGGGGTTTCCGAGGCGGAACACGCGGTCAAAGTCCCGCTGCACGAGCTTGCGCACCTTTTGCGACTGTATAAAGTAGTTGTCCATAGCCTCCGAACTCAGACTGTAGGATCCGAGCAGGATCCGCCTCTTGACCTCGTCCCCGAACCCCTTGCCGCGCGTCTCCGAGTAGAGGACCTCGCCCGTCGCGTCGCTCCCCTCGCCGCGCTTGCCGTAGCGGACACCGTCATATTTGGCCAGGTTCGAGGACGCCTCGGCTGGGGCGATGACGTAGTACGCGGAAAGGGCGTGTCTCGTCGACGGCAGCGAGACAGGCACGACATCGACGCCCAGGCTCTGCAGCGTCTCGGCGGTCTTGACCCACGCGGCGTGGATCTGGGGGTCGAGCTCCTCAATGTTGTATTCGAGCGGCAGGCCGACTTTGAGGCGCCGCTGCTCGGGGGCTTTCTGCGCCTGGCTCTGGCGAAACTCGCTCGAGAGAGACGTCGGGTCGTTCGGGTCATGCTCCAGATCCAGGCTCGTGTCGAAAACGAGCTTCTCGAGAGCGGCCACGCTGCGCGCCAACAGGCCGACCGTGTCAAGAGAGTTCGCGTACGGGACGACGCCGAACCTGGACAGCATACCGTACGAAGGCTTGTAGCCAACGACGCCGCAGTACGCAGCCGGCAGGCGGATCGAGCCGCCTGTATCTGTGCCGATCGCGACGGCCGCGTCGCCCACGCGGACCGCGACGGCGCTGCCGCCGGAACTGCCGCCGGCAGAGGTCGGTGTTGGAGCGAGGGGGTTCCGGACGGGACCGAATGATGAGTGGACAGAGTGGGATCCCATACCAAACTCATCCATGTTGGTTTTTCCGACGACCACGGCGCCGCGCTCGCGGAGCTGGCGCACAATGGTCGCCTCGAAAGGGCTGGCATGTTCGGCGAGGATGGCGGAGGCGCATGTCGTCGGGAGGTCTTTCGTCGCGATATTGTCTTTGACTGCTAACTTAAAGGTAGCCGTTTCTTTGCCGTGTGCCAATGGTTCGGACTGCTTGGCAGCTGGTTTTTTTTTTCAGTCGTCAGTCAAGCTCGGCGAGGTGCAATGGGGTGCAGCTGACCTCGGGCAATGAAGTGGTTCAGGTCATGGTGATGGCGCCGGCTGACGCCTCTAGCTAGACCTGCAGCTCGGCTGGTCAGAGCGATCACCGACCGTGGCCGTATTCGCGAGAGTTTGGCATGGGGAGACATGTGGCCGTCTCAATGGTTTCGCCATCGATGATGATGCTCACGGCAAGTCTGGATGGTGGTTGCGCTACAGAGCTGTCGGACGCAGAAGTGCTTTATCGATAACGACTGTCCCGCCAGGCGCCTGAATGAAGGCACTGCTCTGATTCAGTTAGTCAGCAAGGACTATAAAACGTAGCCCTGGGGGCACGTTGGCCGCAAACTAAGCCAGATATAACAACTCTTTTCCACCCTAATACTATACCTTTTTAGTAACCATAGCAGGGCGATAGTAATTAATATTAGTTCCTACCTAGTTCCTGCATCTCGAGAAGTCCATTTTTAAGTTAAGCATCTACCGTACTAAGCAAATATGAAGAAAAAACGCTAAAAGCTATTTAACCTACCCGCGGGTACTATACTACCGTCTCACCTCCTTAAAGTACATTGCCGATAGTCACCCGCGACTTAAAGAATACCTCGACCCGCTTACGTTACCGTTAGTCCCTGCCTTGGTCGCGAAGAGATATAACTCTCTGAGGAATGGAAGATGGATGTCTAGACGTGGGAAGATGAATATGGCCGTGGGCGTCCTCTTCTGAGGGGGTAACTTAGAGGAAGGGACTACTCTGATTCAGTTAGTCAGCAAGGACTATAAAACGTAGCCCTAGGGGCACGTTGGGTGACAAACTAAGCTAGTTACAACAACTCTTATCCACCTTAGTACTATACCTTTTTGCGCCCTGGCGACATCTTCCCACCAACCTCTTCAGTCAACACTCCAAAGCATGACCATCTCGCACTCCATTCCCGCAAACAGCATTGAATTGATGAATGACAATCCACGGTCATATGTTGACTTGTAAGCTTCAGAGCAATATGACACCCTTCGTAAGGAGTGAATACAGGATTGAATACGTGACTAGCTGAGACAGGAAAATGAATGGCTTCACATAGTTCGTGAGAGTGCCACCCTTACTTTGGTCTACTGATAATGGCAGACGAGTACAATCTTTCGAGATCCATGGCACCGGCTACAGTTTCTCAAGACCTATAAATGACTTGGGAAGCATGGCTCCAAAAGCCACATCATTGAGAATGCTATCGCCTCAGACTCCCCATGTCCTCCAGTTCAAGTATCACATCCCGTCGCCTCTTCAAGTGTCATTGACAGCAGGATGGACTTCGATACAGTGTCATTTCCCCCCTAGTTGTTCCATGCCACTCCCTTATTCCTCAAACAACCCTGATCTGAGTCTTGTCGTCTGCCTGTCTCCCAGCGTCATCAATGTGATCGACATGTACCTCTTCTGGCGGTTCCTTGCCGTGCACAAACTGCCGAGATGCTGCTAGCGCATCGCCTTTCCGGCCTGTGTCGAACAAGATCGAGACTGCTTCGATCGTCATATTTCTATTTGGTCACCAGTCAGACTTGCGTGCCCCAACGAGTCTTGAGAGCAGGTCCTACCTTGTTTCCGGGAAAAAGAAGATGATGAGGACGAGGTACATCGCGATCAAGGCAATATACACAATGTAGCTGTCTCGAGTTAGCCCGCGCCTCTCTTGCGACAGTCACTCCGCCTCACAACTTACTATTTCCACTTCATGGCCTCCAACGCCACCGGGTTGACCCATTGGTTGAATGTCAGCGCCACGCTCTGGACGCTGAGCTCAATACTCAGACCCTTGAGTCGCATATGGTAGGGCAGAATCTCCGCACCGTAGGCAAACGGCAACGGCGACCAGCTCATGCAGTAAAACGTCTTGTAGATGAACATCATGGGCACCACGGCGATGCCCACGGAGCGGGACGGGCCATGATCGAACGACCCGCTGAGCCCCGTGATCAGGATGTAGGTGCACAACATGCCAGCTGTGCCCACGAGCCACAGCGGCCGCCGGCCGACGCGCTCGGCATTGAGGGCTCCGAGATATGCCCACAGCAGCGACCAGACAGCCAGGCCGCCGTTGATCCCCGCAATCTGGTCTGCCTTGTTGATGCCAACGAGCTTCAACGCCGGAGACAGGTAGTATGCGATGATGCCGTTGCCGACCCAGTTGGAGCCTGTGCCCATCGTCACAAGCACGAGAAGGCGACGTCTGTTCCCCGGTGTCTTGAGGAAGTCCGAGTACCTGCTCTTCTGGTTTTCCTTCTCGGACTGGATGGCCTGGCAAATCTCCTCGTACTCGTACCTGACCAGCTCGTCGTTGATGTCGCCGTTGGCGTGTCCCTGCGCGAGGATCTTCAGGGCTTCTTCCGACCGGTCGTTATCAATCAGCCACCGAGGGCTCTCCGGCATGAAGAACAAATGGACGAGTACCAGGAACGGCGCGAACGCCTGGAAAAGGCATGGTGCGCGCCATCTCCAGTCGGTAGACCGCCAGGACAAGGTCCCGAAACAGAACCATGCGGCGGTTATCTGGCCAAAGTAGTAGTTGCTGTAGTACGCAGTGGCAACGTACGGACGTAGCCGTGGGTGCGCCAGCTCTTGCAGCATGGCGATGCCGGTGATCTTGCCGAAGGGCCCAGCGGCACCCATGATGACACGACCGCCGATGAATGTCCCAATGTTCGTGGCGAACGCGTTGAGGAAGGCGCCGAGGATCAGGAGCACTGATCCGACACCGAGGCAGACTTTGCGGCCCCAGAGCCCGTTGATCCAGGAAGCCGCAAAAGGCGTCACGATGGCTGGGAGGAAGAGACTGGCGGATATGAAGCCCAGGACGCTTCCTGAAGGATTGTTGAAGTATTCCTCCCATTCTGGTATGGCTTGGAGTCCGTTCATGAGTGAGGCATCATAACCCAAGTAGAAGACACAAAAGTAAAGACCAACACAATGATATACGTTTTTGCGTAGGCCGGCATCTTTCCACCATGTCGGGTTGGTGTTGTTGCTCAGGTGCGAGAAATGCATAGTTCTTGCTGCCTTGGGCTTGAAAAAGTCGGCCTTGAACAGACGCATTTTCACAATATTATATGGTAAATTTAAGATCAAAACACTCGTGAAGACTCGCCGTCTCGGTTAATTCATAGAGAACCATATAGGATCATATATATACCTGAGGGCAGACGAGATGCCTTGGGGCGTTTTGGCATAGGGACTGCGGAGTAAATCCGGGGTGTGATCAGCTTTAGACCGTGGCAACGCAACTGCGAACCACACCTCAGGGTTCCATGTATAGACCACGGTCACTGGTTGCCGCTGTGCATTAGACGACCACAGAATGCTGTGCATAATTTGAATGAGTGATCTGCTCTTGTCAGATGCGGAGAGACATGCAAAGTTGGTCGGTGACAATGCCGGTGTTGTCAATCGGCCGCCTAGGTGTATGAAGATCCACGCGTCGGCGACAACACCGACGTCCCATTTCTAACCTCGTCAGTTACATCAACAAGGATATTGCTATGATAAGTATACATATGCCCTATCCATGCGGGGATGGCACATGTCGCTTCAAACGTTGGACACGAACCTCTAACACTGGAGTTGGCGTAGCCATCATACCAAGGCACACCGAACGGGCGTACAAGTACAAATGAGTGATCACACTCCTTGTGATAGCCTCTAGAACGACAATGCTTGTACATTTACTTCCATCTGCGAAAGACTTTATATTTACGGATCATGTTAACCCGGCCCCATTGAGATGGTGCGCGTATGTCGGGCGGCAACAGAGCCAGGCTTCTCTAGAGCAATTACATACCATCTTAGCCATGTGCCGCGTCACCATAGCATAGCCCTCTCAAGATGAAGCTGAAAAGCTGAAGCTGAGACGAGAGGTTCTCAGAGTTGTCAGACGAAGTCTCTAGCATGATACGGCCTTGATCGGGCATGGTACAAAATTCAACAAGCAAACTTGTATGAGCTTTGCTACACGTTTCCCTCAAGAAGCCTCGAAAGCTTTCCTATTTACCGGCGTCAACGGTTCGCCAATGAATTCGCCGTCAGTGCCAACCACCTTAACAATATTCTTCATCGCCCCCAGCTCAAAATTCAATCGGGTTGTTATTGCTGCACCGCCGTTATGGCATGTCAGTGTGACATTCTCCATCTCGGCAAGCACCCGAGAAACCTGCGGCTCGTGGTAGTGCACGTCGAGCGCCGCCGCCGACAACTTGCCGCTCCTCAAAGCCGCTATCAGAGCCTCCTCATGGACGACCTCGCCCCGCGCCGTGTTGACGAGCCTCGAGCCATCCTTCATAGCCGCGAGGGCATCGCCATTAATAAGGTCCCGGGTATGCGCGTTCAGCGGGACGTGAAGTGTGACGCAATCCGACACGCGAAGGAGCTCGTGGAGGGTAGGGTGATAAGTCGCCTGCAGCTCCTGCTCGACCTCTGGTGGCGAGCGGCAGACGTCAAAGTAGTGTATCTTCATGCCCAGCGCTGTCCGTGCCTTGAGGGCGACCTTCTTACTGATATTTCCCAAACCGACAATGCCGAGAACGTGGTCGCGAGGGTTCCAGGATATGCTCCCGACCAGGCGGTGCATGGCCATGAACTGCTCCGGGTCGCAGGTCCTCGCCGCGCGCTGCGAACGCCAGAAATTACGGAAGACGGAGAGGATGAAGAATAGGGCCGTGTCCGAGACAGCCTCGTCGCTTGCGCCGGCACCGTTGGCGTACCATATTTTGGCGCGGCCGAGGGCGTCGACATTAGCCCAGTTGAAGCCCGCGCCAGCCGAGGCGAAGATACGTACGGATGGCGGGAGTAGCGAGATCAGCTCGTCGTCCCACTGTCCCATCTCGCCCCCTGACTGAAAATGCGGGCGGAATATGGCGGAGAAATCACCATACTTCTTTGACTTGAGTGCTGCAATGAACGAGGCTCGATCCGGCTCCTCGTTTGCGACCATATCGAAACGTTGCGTGAATGTGTCGCTGTAGTAGTCAGGGTTGTACTTGATATCCTCGCCAAGTCGGAGGACGGTTGGTTTGCTTCCAGGCATGGCGAACGGCTTCCTGGTAGCATCGGCTTTCCTACATGTAGTCTTTGGTTAATAGAGCCGGCAGACGTTGCCTCAGACTGAATCATATAGATGACTGGAAGAGGAGCTCGTTCGAAGCTGGCACATAGGCTATTGCGCCCAGGCAGCGCTCGCATCGGACTCATGTCCGTCCGTCCAGAGACATCGGCGACAATCCCGATCTCTCGCAATTCAGGATAGTGCTCTGGCAACTAGGTATCCATAGTTCTCCTCAGGGTCAGGGCCCATCCTGGAGGAGATGGCTGACAGGCGGGTATGCAGTGCCAATATGCCGACTGTGCAGAACTGACGTCGACATATCCGAACCTCAGTAGATCCCACGAGCCAAGTGTCTTTCTTCCATCGTTGTTGAGATCAGGAGCATCAGAGTGTCCAACCAAGCCAACGTCATCTCGCCTGCTGTGGCGCACCCCAAGGGCGATTGAGGCTTAGCAGAGGGGTAGAACCCTTGTAGCTGGACCCCACTATGCAGGGGTAGCTCCTCCCGGTTCACGGTACCTGCGGGCAGGCACACAGCACAGAGGGAGGCAGGCGTAGCTGGAGCTGTTGCAGCTGCCGGTGCCGCTGCCGCTGCCTTGTGACGTGAGAGTCACGCCGAGCAACATGGGCCATCCAAGGAGGAATTTCGCTCCTACACCTACACCTACAAGTTTCCTGCCCCATCTGATCAACACCAAAGGCAGCGCACATCAACATGCCTCTGTCTAGAATCGTTCTCACAAGCGCGCTGTGCAGCGTCGCGCAAGCAGCACAGCCTGGCGCGGTGCAGCCCGTCGCTGCCCCCATGCGCGACCTTACCTGGGGCAAGCTCAACTTCCTTCACACGACCGACACGCACGGCTGGCTCGGCGGTCATCTCCAAGAACCACAGTACTCTGCTGATTGGGGCGACTATGTCTCTTTTGCCGAGCACATGCGTCGACAGGCCGACGACAAGGGCGTTGACCTTTTGCTCGTTGATACAGGTGACCGCGTCGAGGGCAACGGCCTGTACGACGCCTCCAGCCCGCAGGGCCTCTTTACGTACGACATATTTCGCGAGCAGTCGGTCGACCTGTTGTGTACCGGTAACCACGAGCTCTACCAGGCACCGACGGCCGACCGCGAGCATGCCATCACCGTGCCCAACTTCAAGCACAACTACATTGCCTCCAACCTCGACTACTTGGACGACAAGACAGGGACACAGGTCCCGCAGGCTCAGCGTTACCGCAAGTTCACGACGAAAAACCAGGGGCTCAACATCATCGCGTTCGGCTTCATCTTTGACTTTACCATGAACGCCAACAATACCGTAGTCCAGCCGGTCGAGGATACAGTCAAGGAGGCCTGGTTCCAGAAGGTCCTCAGGGAAGAGAAGCCGGATGCTTTTGTCGTCATCGGTCATGTTGGCCTGCGCATGCCCGAATTCAAGGCCATTTTCAAGGCCATTCGTGCACAGAGCTGGTTCACACCCATTCTCTTCTTTGGTGGGCATGCCCACGTGCGTGATGCCCTTCGCTTTGATGCGAACTCGTATGCCTTGGCTAGTGGGCGCTACATGGAAACCATCGGCTGGGCCTCAGTCGACGAGATCAAGAAGAGGGACGAGGCGGCAGACGACCCAGTCTCGGCCGCCGCTTCCGTCAAATACTCGCGCAGCTACATCGACAACAATCTCTACGGCTTGCACCACCACACAGGCCTCAACTCGACGACTTTCCCAACCAAGCGCGGCAAGCACGTCAGCAGCATGATCGATCGGGCGCGCACGAGCCTCAAGCTCGATCACCAGTTTGGCTGCGCACCGCGCGACCTGTGGATGAGCAGGGCTGAATACCCCAGCAACAGCAGTCTCTACACATGGCTCGAGACGGAGGTGCTGCCAGACGTGATCAAGAAGCCGCACGACGACAAGTCGCGCCTTGCCATCATCAACACGGGCACCATGCGATTCGACATCTTCGAGGGCCCCTTCACGCAGGACAGCACTTACATCGTGTCGCCGTTCATCAGCAAGTTCCGCCTCGTCCGGAATGTGCCCTACGCCGTCGCCCGCAAGGTCATCACCCTCCTCAACACGGGCGACCACATCTTCGAGGCCTCCCTCAACACGCGCTTGCTGAACCTGCCCGAGGCCATGGCCGCTAAGGACCTCTCCGTCGACAACGACGCGCCATCCTCACCCCAGTTTGACTTGCGAGGCAGCGACAACCAGCAGCAGCCGTTGAGCGACCGTCCGGCCCTCATTGGCGGCTACACGACGAAGGACGGCCTCGGTTCCGACGGCGACGACACGGAGCACACGCCCCTCAAGTTCTACGCGCAGCCCAACTGCGTGCAGGCCGAGGTCGGCTTCCCCGCGGACGGCAGCGAGCCTGAGACGGTCGACGTTGTCTTCCTCGACTTTATCCAGCAGTGGGTCATCATGGCGCTCAAGTTCAGCGGCGGCGAGTACAGCGACCGGGACGTTGACAAGTGGGACGACGAGACGCTGACGTTCAAGATGGCCAAGTGGATCGGCGAGAACTGGAAGGGAGAGTGTTGATTTTGACTTTCATTTTTTTTTCTGTTTTGGGAGAGTTTTGACTTTTAACTTTGGCCATAGCGCTGGTCATTACGTTGTATGTTCTGTCACCTACGTCGCAGCCATGTGTTTACATCTGGTCTCGTGTTATCATGTTCTTGGGGTGGGCGCATGGCATCGCGTTGGAATTCTAATTTGGGAGGAAGGGAGGTAGGTCCCTCGGCAGCAAGCATTCGGTTTCTATCTTGTCTACTTTTTCTCTGCACGGTTCCATGGAGCGGAGAATCAAATCTTACACTTGGTACCATTTTTACCTACAAGGACGTTGCCGAGCATCAGACATGGGTGTGGGTTCCGTCTCGCATCTCCCGCCGACCACAGCAGCAGCACATGGCAAAGCTCCGTCGCCCGGGGACCAGTTCCCGCCGGGCCACAAGCGCAGGCGCTATTGACTGCGCTACACGTACAGCTGGGACTCGGCCTCGCATGATACGAGTCAAAAGGCAAAATAGCCCTGCACCTGGAAAGTCTGTAAGAGAGAAACAAACAAACAAAAAAAGAATTGACGGGGCCTAGAAAACAAATGCCCAGGCCCCCCGATGCCATCCATCTCGCGGCAGAACACGAAGACGGCTGGTATGGGATTGCATGATTCGGTGTCAACGTGTCATGTCAGGGTGGCCCCAGTGTTGCTCAGCGTGTCGGCCTCATTGAGATCGACGGGATGAGCCCTACTCATCCCAACCCACCCGGACGGATCTGAAGGACGATGAAACACCGTTTGGACGTTGGAGGACCCCCTATTGACCTGTTTCTGCTACGCAGATGATGGCTCCCCCACGTCATATGTCAGCCCTGCTGGGTTTTGTTTCTGCTGCTGGTTCGGGGTTTCTGGCAGCCGAGCACGGGCGCGCGAGTTCGGATGTCATGCCGTGTGCCTAGAGCTTGGCCTGCAGGCCTGCAGGCCTGACAGACCCTTTCGGAGTCAAGCAACAAAGGCAAGAAAGGGGAGCGGGGAACCATGGTCGTCCATCAATGGACGGATGGCGGGCGGCAAGGAAGAAAATCTGATGAGATGAGGACGACAGGCACACAACGTGTGCGACCCTCTTCCCCCCCCCCCCCCCCCCTATTCGGACTGGTGGCCGGCAGCACCCGCGCGGCACCTGAGACGGATCTGACCTGCTTTGGTACTGACCAAACTTGGGTACCTCGCTCTCCCTTCGTTTGCCCTTCACCATGCCGGCTACCGTATCCACAAATCCAAGCCCACCTGAGTTCACAGTGCACTGCAACTGTAACTGTCCGTTCATCCGCCTTTGGTCTTGCGGTATATGTAGCTGGTCGATCATCTCGTCATTCGATGGGAAAATGACAGTGGTCTGTTGCACCAGCGCAGACCCGATACCGCAATGTAGTCCAAGCGGACCTCACGCCCAGGTCTGTCCGTCCATGAGGCATCGGTGTCTGCGGTGTTACTGTTGTTCAAAGTTCGTCATGCTCATACGCCCATGCTCATCACGCGTCGCCCCGCGCAGACAGGCGAGATTGCGTCGAATGCCAGTGAAGAGCTTGTGTATGTGTGCCAGCGCCTTCTGGTGATTTGAGGTTCCGGTGAAGGAGGGTCGCCTTCCATCCATGGCCCATATCCCACGTCCCAGTACCCATAGGCAGGTATCCCATTGGCCCCTGGGTGTCGTTGTTCCCTTTGAGCGCCCCGGCGCGTTGGGATCTCATTTCCTCGTCTCCTCATCTCCACCCTTTTCCCTTCCTGGACGGGCAAAAGAGCAACATGTCCTGTTCCTGCATGATGTAGGTAGGTGGATGGATGAATGGCCGGTGCGTCTGGCTGCATCTTAGGGCCCGTGTCCCATGTTTGTTCGTCTGTTTCTGGGTCGGCCGTTCAGTCATCGCCAAAAGTTAAAGCCCTTTTGGTACCTGCATGGAGGCGTCCGTCAAAGCTGCGCCCTCGGCTGCCCGTTCCCTTTCCTACACGACGCCCTCGCCCCCTCATCAACCCGACTCGCGCCCCTGGATTCTCGTCGTCGCTATTCCTGGGGACAACGACCAATCTTGCGTCCTCTCTCTCTCTCTCTCTCTCTCTCTCTCTTCTCTATATCGATGAGTCTCACGCCAGCCTGAGAGAGGAGAGCCAGGAAGCAGTCTCCCCTTCTCTCACATCCGCCAGCGCTCGCCCTTGCTTTTGTCGCCCCGCGCACACCCCACTATCGTCAGTCAGACTCGACTGGGCCTCACTTGGACCCAACTGTACAGGCTGTGCACCGCAACCTGCACGAGCTCGCCGAGCCATCTTTTCCCTGACCTCGAGGAACCAACCCCTGAGCTACTGTGCGCGCGCCAGTACTTGCCCATCCACCCAGGAACAGGAAGTACCACTTCAACTATTCGGCCGAACGGCAGGAATTCTGCCAGCTTCAACCACGTCTTTGTCGAC